GGCTACTGCCTGCTTTACCGCTGGACAGTCCTGGAGTTGGGGACCACGGTCCCCCTGATGGAGTGCTGTGTCCCTCCACTCCAGTCTCAGTAGAGAGACCAAGACGATCAGTTCATGCTCCCGAGGAAAGCAGCTACAGGGGACTGCAAGGAAGGAAGGAGTCTTCCTCTCCCCTTTCCTTCCTTCTCTATCTTTCCTTGTTTCCTTTTCTTTTCTCCTTCCTCCCTCCCTTCCTTCTCTCCCTTTCCCTTCCTTTCCCTCCCTTCCTCCCTCCCTCCCTTATTAAAAAAAATTAGCCAGGTGTGATGGCACGTGTCTGCAGTCCCAACTACTCTGGAGGCCGAGGTGGGAGGATCACTTGAGTCCGGGAGGTTGAGGCTGTAGTAAGCCGTGATTGTGATTATGCCACTGCATTGTAGCCTGGGCAACAGAGAGAGACCCTGTCCCCACCGCAAAAAAAAAAAAAAAAAAAAAAAAAATTGACCTATAAATAAGACTTCTGGGTCGGCCGGGCAGGTGGCTCACGCCTGTAACCCCAGCACTTTGGGAGGCCTAGGCAGGTGGATCACGAGGTCAAGAGATTGAGACCATCCTGGCCAACATGGTGAAACCCTGTCTCTACTAAAAATACAAAAATTAGCTGGGTGTGGTGGCAGGCGCCTACAGTCCCAGCTACTTGGGAGGTTGAGGCAGGAGAATCGCTTGAACCCGGGAGGTGGAGGCTGCAGTGAGCTGAGATGGCGGCTCTGCACTCCATCCTGGGCGACAAAGTGAGAATCTTATCTCAAAAAAAAAAAAAAAAAAGGCTTCTGGGTCTATACCTAAAAGAATTGGAAGCAGGATCTCAAAGAGATATTTGCACACTCGTGTTCATAGCAACATTCTTCACAACAGTCAAAAGGTGGAAGCTAGCTTCCTGCCCTCCCTTCCCTCCTTTGCTCCCCTCTCCTCCTTTTCCTTGTGTGTTTACTGTGGTAAAATACACACAATCAAATGTGCAGTTCAGTAGTGTTAAGTAACATTCATGTTGCTGTGCAATCTCCAGAACTCTATTTATCTCGCAAAATTAAACTCGAATCCCATCAACGACTCCTTAAACCCCCCTCCAGGGCCTGCCGACCACCACTCTACTTTCTGTCCCTACGGATTTGCTTATTCTGAACATTTTGGAATGGAATCATCCAGGATGTGGTCTTTGCTGGCTGGCTTCTTTCACTTCACATCAGGTTTTTAAGTCTTATTCGTGTTGTAGCATGTATCAGGACTTCATTCTTTGAGGCTGAGGAATATTCGCTTGCGTGGATGACCACATTGCGTATCCATTCAGCTCACAATGGACCCTTGGTAGCTTCCACCTTTTTGTGGTTGTGAAGAACGTCGCTACGAACAACACGGGTGTGCAAATATCTCTTTGAGATCCTGCTTCCAAGTTTTTGGGTGTAGACCCAGAAGTTGTAATTATAGGCTTTTTTTTTTTTTTTTTTTTCAGGGACAGGGTCTCGCTCTGTTAGCCAGGCTGCAGTGCAGCGGTGTGATCATAGTTCACCACAGCCCACCCCGTGTGCCCTCCCAGACTCATGTGATCCTTCCACATCGGCCTCGAGTACTGGGATTACAGGAACGTGCCACCACACTTGGCTAATTTTACAATTTTTTTAAAGAGACAGAGTTTCACCCTGTTGCCCAGGCTGATTTCCAACTCCTGAGCTCAAGCAATCCACCCACCTTACCCTCTTAAAGTGCTAGGTCTACAGGTGTGAGCCACCGTGCCTGGCTGTAAGCTATTACTTTCATGGTCAAATGGAAAATGACAAATGGGTCCACGCTTATTGTGGGCACCCCTTTAGCCTACACGCTTCCCAGTCCCTCTCTCTTCTTCGGAAGTCTTCCCTCCTCTGGGAGGGGCTTCGGCTGCGGGCCTCTCCACCTTTGGGACTCCTCCTCTTCCTCTCCCCAGGGCCGGCACATCCAGAGAGCACGTTCGCCCCCTACCTCGTGATTCCTGGGCCACAGCCCACCCAGCAGCACCTTCCTGAAACGGAGCTCGTCCTTCTAGAGATGAACACCATGGGGCGCAAAGTGAGTGCTTGAGAGGACACACGGGGTGGGCATCAGCACTCCAATGGACCCACCTCTGAGACCTCCTGCCAGGGCTTAGCTACTGTGTGGTGTATACTTGCACACACACACAGACACACATGCACACACATACACACCCACCCACTCGCACACACACACACACACCACACCCCTACCCAAACACTTGCACACACACAGACACCCAAGCAAATCTGAGCTCTCAGCAGGGGTGCAGTCAGGGTCTCCAGGAAGGCTATCGTGACCCACCCTGGGTTTTCCTAAGTGCCACCTCCCCCCAGACCCTGTCACAGTGCAGGTGAGGCTCCCATGTCCCGGCAAGCCCACGGACCCCAAAGCGGGGCTGAAATGCAGATTCAGGGTCAGCAGATGCGGCCAGGGCTTGAGATTGCGCATTTGAGAGGTCAGGGGTAGAGCGTTCATGAGAATCCTGCGCAAAACTTACAACAAACACACAAAAGACGAAAACGATAAAGCAATTTCTAGAACCCCAGCCCTGGAGATGCAGAGGAATCCACCCCACTGGGGACATCCCTGGAGACACCCATGGTAGACCAACCACTAATTAGCCAGCGATTTCACTCTTTTAACAAACCTTAGGGTGTGGGAGACAGAGCAGCAAATATAAGAAGCCATCTGCTCATTTCTGTTGTCAACATAATGTCACCAAGCCCTGACTCTGTGACAAGGCGCAGCTCTCCAGGGGGATGCCTTGAAGACCAGACAGGATGGAGCGCATGATTCCCCATGCCTCTTCCCTGAGTCACTCTATTCCTTAAAAGATAAACAGGGGCAGGGTGCAGCAGTTCATGTTTGTAATTCCAGCACTTTGGGAGGCTGAAGTGGGCGGATCACCTGAGGTCAGGAGTTCAAGAACAGCCTGGTCAACATGGTGAAACCCCGTCTCTACTAAAAATACAAAAATTAGCTGGGTGTGGTGATGCATGCCTGTAGTCCCAGATACTTGGGAGGCTGAGGCAGGAGAATCGCTTGAACCTAGGAGGCAGAGGTTGCAGTGAGATGAGATTGCACCACTGCACTCCAGCCTGGGCGACAGAGCGAGACTCTGTTGGGATTACAGGTGACCAATTTCTAAGATGTCTGAATGCAGATCACCCCTGACATCTTTGGGAGCAAGGCTGGGACACACACACACCCCCTCTTGGTGGACTGCTGCTTTACAGGGCTGGGAGTGCAGCCTCGTCACCTCCTTGACGTCCCCACTGAGCCCCCTGGGCTGCTGCAGGGCCCAGGCCCAGCACCCACCTCCTGGGCTGCAGCTCCCCTATCTATGGTTAGGGATGCTGCTGGCTGCTGCCCAGGGGCCTCCTCTCCTGCCCCGGGGAGGGAGGACAGAGAGCTCAGGGATTGCCTTGCCATGGGCCCAAGTGCCAGCCAGCAGGGGCCACCAGTGCCTGGGCCACCCTAGGCCCTGTAGCGTCCAGGATGCTTGACCCCCCATGATGGGGCCCCCACCACTCGGGGGCAGAATAGAGGGTCTAGTACCCTAGTGAAGACAGAGCCCAGACAGCAACTCCCTGCCACGGCTTCTGGTCATTGGTCCTCCTGCCTTGAGATGACTGCTGGCAACCCTGCTGCTAATGGTCACCCACTACTCCCCACGCCAGGCCACCTCTGGCTCCATGATGGAGCTGGGAGCCAGAGCTTGGTTCAGGGATTTCGGCCTCGTCAGCCTGGCCTAATGGTTCTCAGACCAGGTTCTGGTTTCCTGTTCAATGACCACCTACCCCCAGGCCTGGGACCTGAGGCCGCTCTTGCTCCTCTCCTTGCCCAGCTGAGTCCTGCCTGGGGCTATTACCCATTCCGAGCAGCTTCAGAGAGCTCCACAGGGTTGGCATATCACAGATGACAAAACTGAGGTTCAGCAGAGTCAGAAAGCCGGAGCTCCCCCCGCCCCCACCCCTACACCCTCCTATCCTGAGCTGAAGCAGGGGTGCCAGGTCTGCTTTTCCCACCAGAGAGGGAAACTCCTCCATCCCGAAGGCTCTGCTGGCAGACAGCCTGGGCCAGCTCTGGCCATGACTCAGAGGTCAGGTGATGGCCTCCTCCTGCTCACGCCCGGCTCACACCCACCCAGTTCCCCTGCCCTGGGCCTTTCTTTTGCTCAGCACTCCTTCCCCACCTTGAGAAAATCAACGCCGCAAGAGGCGAGCGCGTGGAAGGCTGCTGGGGTGGCGGATCAGCAGGTGAACGCGGTGTGGAAAGATGCCCGCCATCAGAGACCCCCACACCCCTCCCCATGGAGGCCACGCTGACCCGATGCTTAAACAGGGCGGGGTTGGCCAAGGAAGCCTACCTCAGGCTCAGCTCCTGCCCTGAAAGTCAGAGTGCCCGTGGTGCTGGGCTGGTCTCTGGCTCTCAGTAACATTTGGGCCTCACTGAGGGACGTACAGGGAGCAGGCCCTGCCTGCTGTGGCTGAGGGGGGAATCCTGACCACCTGGGGACTCGGGAAAACCTGTCTGAGGCTGCAGGGGAGGTGAGAGCAGGTGCTAGCTTGTCCTTCCCAGGCCAGGTGGCCTTCAGCAGGTCACCACCACCCCCCAGGCCCCCTGGGCGCTTCTGTAGCACGGGAGGAGGTGGCAGATCCCGCCCCCACCCCTCCTTCCCTCCCTCAAAGGCTTCAGTGATTCCTTCCCTGCTAAGGCCGGGGCAAAGTCAGGGCCAGTCCCACTCCCGAGCATCCCAGCCCTTCCGTCCACAATCTCCCGATCCTGCCATCAGTGACAGGGATGGTGGAGCAGTAGGGAGGCCTGGACAACAGGCACAGGTCGGCCCCCACCACGCAGACCCTGGGAACCTGTGCTCCCTAGAAAGTAGCAAAGGCCTGAGGGTGAGCACCCTGAAGGGGCGTCCCCAGGGCAGGCACCGCAGACATGAGCTGGGTCGACAGGTTTTATTCCACCCCTTTCCATCCCCATGGCCACCCCAGGCAGGAAGAGACAGGTGTGCTGGAGTCTGGTCACTCTGGGGCCCGGCGTGGGCAGACCCCACCAGATTCACATTCTCTGCGGGCAGGTGTGGACGCCAGAGGGCTGGGGCAGGAGGAACGTGGGAGCGAGCGGCCGACCCCTGTCCCTGACCCAGGCCCCCAGGTAACGCTGACTCATCCGCCTGACACAGACCTGGGCCGGGCCTAGGAGGCTGATGGTATTTCCAACCAAGACAGAAACACAAACCGACTGAGGCCAGTGAGGAGGTCACCAAGGCTGGCGGGACGGCACAGAGTAAAAAAGTCTCACACACACGCGCCACATGGACACCTCCGCACATGGGGACGTGTCAGTAAAAACTCAAGGCCAGCTGTGAGGCCTCACACGACACTCTGCCGGCCACCAGAGCCCTCCAAGTTGGACACGCCAGAGCCCCGGCCCCGGCCAAAGTCAATGAAAATCCCTTCAGAATCTGAGTCCACGGACTCCAGGATCTGGTCCACCAGGTTCTCCGGGCTGGCGTGGGGCAGGGAGCTGCGGGTGGGATCCAAGCCCTGCTCAGGGGGCTGGGTCGTGGGGTAGAGTCTGCTGGGGCAGGGCCCTGAGTGGGGTGCTGGGGAGGACCTGAAGGCCCCGGCAGAGCCCTGGCCGGGCGGGTCGGAGAAGCCCTGGGGCTCGGGGCAGGACGTCATCTCCGACACGGAGTGCCTGCGGATGCTGGGGCCGCCGGCCGCTGCGCCCTCCGCCTCGTGCTCCTGCACGGGGTTCAACAGCGGCGTGTTGTAGCTCTTGGAGCGCACCACCGGGTTCTTGGCCAGCACGTCCCCCGAGCGGGAGCGGCGGAGGAGGCGCTTCTCTGGGGAGAGACATGGGCACTGTCACACCAGAGGCTACCTGTGTCCCCGCCTACCTCGGCACCTGCTGCTCGCTGCACACTGGGTCCTCGTGCAGGGGCAGCTGCGGGGAAGGCCCAGCCCACGCTGACCCCAGGCCCGGCCCAGCAGGTCCTGCCACCACAAGCTTTGACACTAGCGCAGGTTCTGGTCTCTCTTCTCCAGCCTAGGCCCAGCCTGGACACACAGGACCTCAAGTCAAATGCCTGGGTTTGAACCTGCACCCTGCCAGCAACCTGTGTTTGACCCTAGGTAAGTTACCTAACCCCCGTGCCTCAGTTTCTCCACTTCTGGAAGTGTATGGACTTTGGCACCTGCTGGACGTCTACACTTTCCTAGGCAGGTACAGCCCCTGCCCCACTGGAGCTGATGTCCAAGGGAATGAAGCGGGGGGCGGCAAGAAGTCCACGCAGGCGAGCCATGGGGCCAGGTTGTGGGGCTATGATGGGGGCAGATGGGGACAGGCCCTCCATGTAAGGTGAAGGCGGGGATTCCATCCTGGGGATGCAGGGAGCCTGTGGTCAGGCAGTTGTAAATGGGCCTCACTGGCCGCAGCATGGAGAGTAACAGACTGCGGGGGCCGAGGGCAGACATGGGGACTCGGGGAGGAGGCCCCTTGGGTCATCTGGGCAGGAGGCAGTGGCACTGGTGGCTGAGGCTGGTGACAGGGCAGGGTTCGGGCTCTCATTTGGGACCCTGCAGTCCAAAGAGTGGCCACCAGGTGGCAGGCGACACACATGAGCGGCTCAGGGGCCTTTCCCGGACCAGGGGAAGAAGGTCCCATCAGGCATGGGCTGAGGTCCTGCCACCCAGGGCTACACCGAGCCTGAGTGGCTCAAAGTTCTCCAGCGGCCAGGGCACCACCTGAGCCGAGACACACCGGTAGGCAGGTTTTACACCAGCAGGTGGGGATGGGGAGCCCCTCTGGATGAGGAGGGCATAGTCCCAAGTGGGCCTTGCCCCAGCTCTGTTCCCTCTGCCTGGGATGCTCCCAGCCTCCAGCTAATGGTGGGACACGGAGGGGACTCACTGGTCGGCCTCCCCCGCTGGAGGGGAGGGGCGTGGCCTCGGGCTGGTGCACAGCAGGTACTCAGAGGACACTGCTGCAGGATCGCAGAGGCTCTCCGTCAAGGGAGCAACGTGGCCAGCTGTGCTGGACGCACCAGGTAGCCCCGGGACGCCGCCCACCCCCAGACCTTGTCCCTCCCAGCCTCAGTTCCCTAACTGAGCCAGGAGTCCTCAGGCTTCAGCATGTGCATGTTCTGAGCACTCCGCCTGACCCATTTCTGACTTTCAAGACTGTCCATGAATGTGGCCTCCTGGGGAACGCAGAGCCCTGGTGGGACTCTCCAAGGTGTCGCCACATTACTGCTCACGGTGTTAGTCCACCGTCACGGATCCCCAGGTCCAGGCCAGCACACGGCAGGCTGGGGGCTGCTGCCCGGCTGAGAACCAGTCTGGAGTCAGATCCTGGTTCCGTCATGGGGCCTCGGCTTACCCATCTGTTCACAATGGACAGGGCCCATGGTCACCCCTACCCCAGCCCAAGGCCCAGGCAGACCCCTACCCAGGATGCAGGAATGGGCGAAGGGCCCCTCGCTGGAGTGGAGGCCGTAGGTGCCCAGGTATGGCGACACCACCTTCTGAACCAGCATCTCCAGGCGCAGGTAGTCCTCGGTCACGCCCCTGGACTCATGTACCCCCTGCAGGAGAGTGGGGTGGGGGGTAGGAGGGGGTCATGCACCTGAGCTTGGTGGCCCCAGGCTCTCAACCGTATGTCCCACCCACCAGAGAGCCTGTCCTCTGCCTCCCGCCTCCCATTCCCATGGGCTCTCTGTCCCCATGGCAGGGCCCACAGTGGTCTCCCAGCCCCTCTCAGAGCATGTGGCCTGAGTCACTCTGCTGCTCACAACAGCATCATGACCTGGGAGACCACGGTGTGCCCTGGAAAAAGGCTGTGGCCAGATGAGATGGGCGTTCTGCACCTTCCACCCCTCGGAGGGGCCCCGTACTCAAGAGTCCTAGAGGCTTTGGACAGTCTCTCCAGAGACACTGGCTGACCCCACCCAGGGAGGGCCAAGATGCTCACCTGGGGCTCCCTGCCCCACGGGGCCAGGTGCAGGCCCCATCCATCAGACACCTCCTCACAAGCCCCTCTCTTCTTCCCATCCCTGGCTCAGGCCACCTCCCCTCATCCGGAGCTCTGAAGAGCTCACCGCTACCTCCAGGCGTATTCGAGCCATGGCCTGGGAGATGAGGCTGCTCACCCAGCTGTGTGCTGAGCGGGGACAAAAGCTCTGTGACCCCAGCACCCCACACAGAGGGCTGGGAGAAAGCTGACATATAGCGAGTGCTTGCCCTCATTAAATGAGTGAATGAATGAATGAGTGAATCCATGAATAATGGAAGACAGCAGGCCTCAAGGGGCTGTCAGGTGGTTCAGGCACAAGATACACGGGGGTAGAATTATTTTTTTCTTGAGACAGAGTCTCACCGTGTTGCCAAGTTGGACTGCAGTGGTGCGATCTCACCTCACTACAACCTCTGCCTCCCAGGTTCAAGCAATTCTCCTGCCTCAGCCTCCCGAGTAGCCGGAATTACAGGCATGCGCCACCACGCCCAGCTTTTTGTTTTAGACGGAGTCTCGCTGTGTTGCCCAGGCTGGGGTGCAGTGGTGCGATCTCGGCTCACTGCAAGCTCCGCCTCCCGGGTTCACGCCATTCTCCTGCCTCAGCCTCCGAGT